TTCAGATATTTCTTTTTCTTTAAAGATTGATTGATTATGTATTCAATGTTCTATCTGCATGTATGCCTGTAGGCCAGAAGAGGGAGCCAGATCTCATTACAGATGGCTGTGAGCTACCATGTGGTTGCTAGAAATTGAACTCAGGACCTCTGGAAGAAGAGTCAGTGCTCTTAACCACTGAGTATCCCAATTCAGATATTTCTTACCAAGAGTAATTTTATTTTATGCATATATGAATACTATTCAGCAATAACTTGATAAACACAACTCGGATGGATCACTAGAGAATTAAACCAATGCTATCAAGCTACACATTTGTGCCATTTTATAAAGCATTTAATAAATAAAATTATAGAGATGGAGAACAGATCATCAGTTGACAAACATGGGAGAGGGAGGAATGACTATCTATGGTCATGAAAATCAGCATCCAAATCCTTGTGAAATGGCATTCTGTATCTGGAATGTGCTGATAAAGCTCATGAATATACATGTGACTAAACAACACAGTACTCAATACATGTACATGTGTAAAAGTGCAGTTGGTGCAATCTAACTGATGACAATTGGCTGCTATGACATTGCGCTTTCATTTTGGTTACATTATCACTGGGGCAGTGTGGATCGTCAGCATGTCTGACAAGTATGTGAGAATCTACAATTCTTCAAGATTAATGCCCACCCCACCCCACCCCTTTCAAGACAGGGTCTCTTTGTGTAGTCCTAACTGTCCTGGAACAGGTTTTGTAGACCAGGTTAGCCTCAAACTCAGAGATTCATCTGCCTCTGCCTCCCAAGTACTGGGTTTAGAGGTGTGCACCACCATCTCTTTGCTTCTTTCTGAGACAGTCTGAGGACGGGCTTGAGCTCATAATCTTCTTGCCTTGACTACCAAAGTGGTGGAACTACAGGTATGCACTACCACATCATGCTTAGATTTACCTTTAATTAAAAACACAAACTATTTGCTAGAAAAAATAGTTTTAGTCTGCACCCAGATCTTCAAAGTCAGGGCTGTTACTTCTGAGAAGTACAAAGCTCTTTGCCCCTTAAATACCACCCTGATGAGTGGTAAAGTAGACTAGAAAACTGTTCACCCAGACCCCGCCTCTACCCAATACACACTTCCCTCTAAGCTGTCTATCTTACTGCTTATTCAGCAATAGTACAAAACCTTAAAAACAAAGATGAAAGTCACAAAGACAACTGCTTACACATCACTACAGACAGTGCCAAAACACTCACTATACAGACTTAGTTAATTTTCATGACAGCACCTATGAGGAATAACCATGCATCTCCTTATCCAATGAAAAAGGAGACAGCTGTATCTAAGGCTCACACTCTTTACCACTACCTACAGCCTCAAAGAGACATGCTTTCCTCACAGGACCACTGCAAGGATTAAGTGAGCTAATCCACATAAAGCATACAGGACATATAGTATAAGGAATAAACTACAAGCTGTTACTTATCACCACATCCAGGAGCACATAAGCAGCACAAGCGAGGTTATTAAAAGAAAGAAAGAAAGAAAGAAAGAAAGAAAGAAAGAAAGAAAGAAAGAAAGAAAGAGGGCTGTAGAGATGGCACAGCGGTTAAGAGCACTGGCTGTCCTTCCAGAGGACCTGAGTTTGACTCCCAGCAACCACATGGTGGCTCACAACCATCTGTAGTGAGATCTGGTGCCCTTTTCTGGCCTGCAAGGATACATGCAGGCAGAACATTGTATACATGACAGACAGACAGACAATGAGATTTTTGTCAGGTGGTGGTGGCAGCGGGGGCGGCGCACGCCTTTAACCCCAATACTCGGGAGGCAGAGGCAGATGGATCTATGTGAGTTTGTGCCAGCCTGATCTACAGAGTGAGTTCCAGGACAGCCAGAGTTACACAGAGAAACCCTGTCTTAAAAACCAAAAGAACAATAAATAAATAAATAAATAAATAAATAAAGTGAAATAAATGAGGTCTTGGAAGTTGGAGCGGGGTATATTGGGAGGAATTAAGGAGAGCAGTTGGGTGTAAGGGCCTTTTACTATTATTATTTATTTGTTTTTGGTTTTTTCAGACAGGTTTCTCTGTGTAACAGCTCTGATTGTCTTGGAACTCGCTCTAAAGACCAGGGTGGCTCTGAACTCAGAGACCCACCTGCCTCTAGCGCTGGGGTCAAAGGCGTGGACAACCTCCACCTGGCTGATGCTGTGCTTAATAAACTGGCTTGCCCGAGCCATTAGCTTGTGTGAGACCTCCTGATGCTAACCTTTCTTCTCATGCCCTGGTCGTCGTTCTGTCAGGAACCTGTCACTGAACAACTACCTGCTGGCCCAGGTCAGTGACCCATAGCTGCCATGGAGGTGCTGTACATCAAACCCAGAGCTTCGCATACGCTAAGAAAACACCTTATCACTACTCAGCTCTTGGAAGGGTTTCCGCTCAACCAGAGCTCCCATTCTGATACATTGTCTCACGGCTCATCCAAAACTGCTTCTGCCACCAGGCAGTGTTACCAATCTCAACATAAGACATACACATCACTTTCTTTCGTCACCATACTCTTGCTGATGCATGAGGGATGGGACCTCCGTCTAGAGAGGCAACCTGGGCTATGGAGTGAATTAGCATCTCAATAAAACTACAGACGAACCCAAGGTGAAGGCGGGAGCCCGCCCTACCCTCCCCGCCGCCGCACCCGCCCAAGCTGCCTCCGGCCGCAGCTGCCGCCAGTGCCTTCGCGGCAGGACGCCGGCTCTCACCGGCTGCCTTCGCCGTCCGCGCCCGGTTCGGGGTGCCTACGTCCGGTGTTCCTGAGGACCATCGTGCGGCTCGGCTCACAAGTCTCCCTCTGGCTCCGGGGAGAATTTGGCGCGCTCTCACCTACTCTCGCGAGACCAAGGCTCCGGCCAATGAGAAGGCGTGGCGCTCGGGCGTCGGGCAGACGTGGCACAGACCCCGCCCCTCCCCGCCCCGCCCCTCGGTTCTCCAATCCGCCCCAGAGAGCGGAGGGTGGGTCGCAGGGACCGGGTGAAAATTTGCGGCGGCGGGCCGCGCGCGCGGCGGGGTCGGCCGGTCGCTCTGAGGGCCGTGGTAGGGCAGGAAATGTCAGGCCGTCCCCGCCCTGTGCCCGGTGTCCCGGGCCCGATGCCCGACTGGCCAGCTGTTGGGTGGGCGCCCGGGGCTACTCAGAGCTGGGACGGCGATGGCACCTGCCGCGTCAAGACTGCGGGCGGAATCCGAGCTCCCGTCGCTTCCGCGGCGAGCGCTCGCCCAGTACTTGCTGCTCCTGAAGCTCTATCCCGTGTTCACCAAAGCAGTCAGCAGGTGGGTTCATGCGGGCGCCGACAGGGCAGGGGCGCCCGCAGATCAGGCGATTACAGCCTGTGGGCCGTGACCCCTTGGGGGGTCGAACGACACTTTCACAGGGGTCGTATATCAGTTGTTTACGTTACTGTTCATAGCAGCAGCAGCAAAATTACCGTTACGAAGTAGCAATGAAAGTAACTTTATGGTTGGGGGGTCACCACAGGAGGAACTGTATTAAAGGGTCGCAGCCTGAGGAAGACTGAGACCCACTACTCTGGAGGAATGTGGGTGCCAAAAAAAGTCCTGCATCAAGGTGCGCCCAAAGTTCTGCTTAGCCCCTAAATGCTCTTTGTGTATTGGGTCCCAAGCAGTAGCTAGCCCTTGCAGACTGAATGTTGTGAAGACCAGGGAGCCAGGGACACCGTTCCAACCATGAGTGGCCATAAGCACTGTCGCTGGTGAGCTCTGACCTTTGATCTACATCGATTTCCTAATGAAATATTCCTGTTCCTGTTCATTTTTGTTAGCGAATTTGATAGCTTTTCATAAGTATGAACAGAGTGCTTCCTGTGTGCTGGACATACGTAGGCCTTTTCTCTCATGGAGCTGCGAAGAACTAGACAAAAAAAAAAAAAAAAAAGACAACTATGTAACCCAGAGCAGTTAGGGAAGTTTCTCCTGTGCTGTTGACACTGACCACCAGCACGCAGAAGAGAAGCAGTGGTTCACGGGGCAGAAGTTCTGAGGGAGGAGGGCAGGGCATGTGGGAGGGGTGAGGGAGGACTGAGTAGGTGGAGACGATGAAAAGGGAGACTAGATGGGAAGAGGTAACCAAGCGTCTATGATCCACACCAGAAAACTTGGGATTTCGCAATTTTTAGAAGACAGTAGACCTGTGATGGCTAATGCCAGTTGTCAACTTGGTAAAATTTAGAATCATCTGGGAGAAGGGCCTTTGGGCATGCTTCTAAGGGATCATCTTGATTACCTTAATTGAGGTAATAATGGTGCCCACTATGGGTGGCACCATTCCTGGTTGGGATTCTGATCCTTGTCTGAAGCTATGTCTCTGTTTCTCCCTTTTTGTCTGTCTGTCTCTGTCTCTGTGTCTGTCTCTGTGTCTGTCTCTGTCTCTGTCTCTCTCTCTTCTGTCCTGGAACTCCTCTGTAGACCAGGCCAGCCTAGAACTCACAGAGATCCACCTGTTTCTGCCTCGTGGATGCTGGGATTAAAGAACTAAAGGTGTGCACTACTACACCCATCTCATTCTACCGTTTCTTGATTGTGGTCATGCTGTGACCAGATGCTTCAACACCCTGCTGTCTTGACTTCACTGCCACGCTGGGCTGTACCCTTAACTGTGAGCCGAAATAACCATGGCCCTCTTAGTTTGCTTTGACAGCCACATGAAAAGAAACTAAGACAAGACTCAACCTTAAGAAGCAACTGACCCTGTCTTTTTTTTTTTTTTTTTTTTTTTTTTTTGGTTTTTCGAGACAGGGTTTCTCTGTGGCTTTGGAGGCTGTCCTGGAACTCACTTTGTAGACCAGGCTGGCCTCGAACTCACAGAGATCCGCCTGCCTCTGCCTCCCAAGTGCTGGGATTAAAGGCGTGCGCCACCAACGCCCGGCCTGACCCTGTCTTTTTACCAGGAATTTTACTTCAGGAGCATAAATTTACACAGAAATACTACAGAAGGGTTACACAGCTCTTTTAGAATTTGTCTAGCAGGTTTTCTGACTTTTTTTTTGGAACCCGCCCTCCACCAAAAGAAAGGAAAATCCCTGATGACTTCTGCCCCATTTCAAACATTTTAGGAACTTCAATATAACATCACAGACAGATGTCAGCCCATACAAATCTGTACAGTCCACAGATCACAGTCAACTACAGAAGCGTCCTCGTGAGGACCCTTCTATTGCTTTTTATATATACCCACGCCTTCAGTGCGGCAGTGGGGATGTTGGAAGGCATGCAGTCCAGCAGGTGGGACTGGCACTCTGCTTACCTGTGTTTTGGCTTTAGGTCTTATTGTCTCTGCCTTCAGGAGCTTTGCCTGCAAGGTCTCACAGCAGCTCTGCTGTTGCCGTACAGGAAAGGCATGCCTTTGTGTCTGTTACTCATTTCTGATTGCCTCTTCCTCCACAGTGGCATTTTGTCAGCCCTTGGGAACCTTCTGGCCCAAATGATTGAGAAGAAACAGAAAAACAACTCTCAAAGTGTAGATGTCAGTGGGATTCTCCGATACTTAGTTTATGGGTAAGTGCCACCCAGAGCTGGTTCAGCTGTGCAAACTGAGCACAGCAGAGCTGGCTGCAGGAACAAGGCTTCAGCATACTTTGGTTTGAAAACTTAATTCTGGGGCTGGAGAGAGGGCTCCAATGTTAATGGCTCAGTTGTATTGACTGCTCATGTAGAAAACCCAGGTTTGATTCCCAGCCATCTTTAACTCCAGTTCCAAGGGATCTGATGATCTCTTTTGACCTATGTACCAGACACATATGTGGTGCACAGACATACCTACAAGCAAAACTTTCATGCACAAAAAATAGAAAATAAAGAACTGCCCTTCTAGATGTCCTGAGGCCAATTCCCAGCAACCATATGGTGACTGACAATCATCTGTAATGAGATCTGGTGCCCTTTTCTGGCCTGCAGGTATACATGCAGACATAACGCTGTATATGTAATAAATAAGTAAATCTTTTTAAAAAGTGAAAAATAGGCCGGGCATTGGTGGCACACGCCTTTAATCCCAGCACTTGGGAAGGAGAGGCAGTTGGGTTTCTGTGAGTTCAAGAATAGCCTGGTCTACAGAGTGAATGCCAGGATAGGCTCCAAAGCTACACCGAGAAACCCTGTCTCGAACCCCCCCCCACCAAAAAAAGTAAAAAATAAACTAAAAGAAAAACGAATACTTTAAGAAGCATCAGAGAGCCAGGTGTAGTAGCGCACTCCTTTAATCCCAGCACTCAGGAGGCAGAGGCAGGTGGATTTCTGTGAGTTTGAGGCCAGCCTGGTCTACATAGTGAGTTCTAGGACAGCCAGAGCTACAGAGTGAGACCCTGTCTCAAACAAAACAAAACAAAAAATCAGAAGCATCAGAGGCTCGATACGATGACACGGGCTTGTAGCCTAGTCCTGTGGAGGCAGAGGCAGTGTGGGATTGCCACAATTCTCAGGCCTGCTTTTGCTATGTAAGAAGACCTGTCTTTAAAACCCCCTCTGAGCTCTTTGACCAACACTAATAACATGGCTAAATGATTTGGAAGTCTTTCCATTGGTGTGATTCAAAACAAAACCCTTTGTGTGTGTGTGGCATTAGGATTAAACCCATGGCTTCATATATGTCTCCACTTAGATAATACTTGTCATCATTTAGCTGGACAAGATAGTACAGGACTTTGATCCTAGAACTTGGGAGATTCCAGCCTTGTCCACATAGTGAGTTTTGGGTTAGCCAGTGAGACCCTGTCTCAAGCAATAACTAACTAAATAAATAAATACATAAATAATGTTAAAATAAATAGTCATAAAGACTGTGTGTGTGTGTGTGTGTGTGTGTGCGTGTGTGTAAGAGATTGAGACTGTCTTACTCACAGAGATCCGCCTACCTCTGCCTCCCGAGTGCTGGGACTAAAGGCATGCGCCACCAATGTCCGGCTTCCCCTTGAACTTCTGAGTTCAAGGGACACTTGCTTCTGCCTTCTGAGTGCTGGGAGTATAGGTGTGCACCACCACACCTGGTTTTTTGTTTGTTTTTTGCAGTGCTGGGAATCAAACCCAGGGTTTCATGGCATGCTTGGGAAGTACTCTACTAACTGAGATTCAGTCCTAACCTCACAAAAGCTTCCAAGAATTACAATTTGCGTCATTTATTATAATGTATATAAAGCCATATGTCCCATACTTTGTCAGGTAACAAGATCAGCTAAAGCACCTTAACCCTCTCACATGATCTTAGTCTCCAAAGACTCCAGTTGTCTGCCCTACTATAGCCCACAGTGGTGTAGCAAAGTCCAATTGAAAACCTTTACAGATGGGTTGTTAGAATCGGAAGAGCTGGTTCCTGCCCCTCTCTGTATTACCCTGCTTTGTGAAACTCACGTCTGGACTTGGCGCACACCTGGCCAAGCTGGGTGTGATCTGTTCACTCCTCAGAGCCTGTTAGGCATGAGGGCACAGATGTGGAGAGTCAGCATGATGGCCTGGAACACAGAAGAGTCAGATGGACATATGTCTTAGTCAGGACCATCATGATGGCTCTGCCAGCTGACCAAGTACAGGAACTGGCAAAGTAACTTCAGTCTTTGCAGGCCAAAGGACTGCCTGAAACTGACTGAAAGAGGTCTATAGAATTTCGTGTGGTCAGTAAGTACTTTGGGGGAAGGAAAGAGGGCTTAGGATCTGAGGTGAGTCTTGGTATGAGGATGACCAAAGAAGGAAATGTAGAAAGAACCGCAGGCCAGCTCAAACCCCTGTGCCGCTCCAGGTTCTTTGTCACAGGTCCACTGAGTCACTATTTCTACCTCTTCATGGAGTACTGGATCCCTCCTGAGGTCCCCTTGGCCACTGTCAAGAGGCTGCTGCTGGATCGCCTGCTCTTTGCACCAATCTTTCTGCTGCTGTTCTTTCTCATCATGAACTTGTTGGAGGTGAGTGTTTCTCTGGCACTTGCTGCATCTCCTGTTAACAGGTGTATTGGTAGCCTTGCTCCCTAGGGTGGGCCTCAATGTCTGATCTTTTACTGCTTTCAACTTTCCGTTTTCCTTCCTTCCTTTATTTTTATTTTTTATTTTATTTCATTTTTTTTTTTTTTTTGGTTTTTATGAGACAGGGTTTCTCTGTATTGTTTTGGAGGCTGTTGGTCCAGCCCGGCCTTGAACTCACAGAGATCCACCTGCCTTTGCCTCCCGAGTGCTGGGATTAAAGGTGTGCGCCACCACCACCCGCCTCCTTCCTTCCTTTCTAATAATTTGAAAATCTCATACATGAATCTAATGTGTTTTGATCAAAACCACCCTTCTCCCCACACTATTTTTCCTTCCCAACTTCATGTGTCTTTTTTAAACCTACTGTGTTCACTTAGTGCTTCCCATATGTGCATGGGAATAGGCCTTTCGGGGGCTGTATCCCCGAAGAAAAACTGGCTTTCCCTTCCCAGCAACTATTAATTTCCAGTAGCTCCTCAGCTAGGGGTAGAACTTTATGAACATCGCCCCTGTGCATGCTGGGATTTCCTGGCTTGGGCATGTTTGGGTCTTATGCATGTGGTCAAAGTAGCACTGTCATGTCCAGGAAATACTGTTTCCTTCATTTCTCTGTGTGTATGTGTATGGGCATGTATGTACCAAAGGTTGTATGTAGAGATCAGAGGAGTTGGTTCTTTCCTTCTACTATGTGAGTCTCAGGGATTGAACTCAGTTCATCAGGCTTAACAGCAAGTACCATTACCTGCTGAGCCATCTTGCTATTCTTCAACTTTCTATTTTTGTGTTTTCTATTTTCCCTTGTGAACCTAGCAAACAGACCATAGGAGTATTAATAGTACCTGTTTGTCCCTAGTAGAAGTCATAAGCCTCTAATCCACATGGCAGTTGTTACATATGTCCTGGGGCTGCCCTTAGGTCTTGTCACTATATCTGTTGTCAAAGAGGGATGCATACTACTCTATCATAGAATTGGTTTCCAAATATTTTGATAACTTTTAGTAGAATTGTTTTTGTTTCTGTTTTTACTTGTATGTTTTAATATGATTCTACATCAAGCTTGATGGCTTATGCCTGTAGTTGCCATACTCAGGAGGTTGAGAAAGGAAGATTGCCATAATTTCAAGGTCATCCTCAACTACAAGGTGAGATTCTGTCTCCAAACTCAAATAAATAGAAATATAAAGTAAACTAACACATGACTTTACCAAAGAGATCTGTGCTACAAAAATCTCAAGGTTGCCTGATGTGTTACAAAACCCTTTAAAAACAGTTTGTGACTATCAGGTGAAAAGTATTTTAATTTGTATACCTCATATACTGTGTATTCTATGAACTTTGCTTCTCTTATATTATTTTTTTTGTGGAAGGGTATTTTTTTTAAAGATGTGTTTATTTATTATAGTGTTTCACCTGCATGTATGCCTGCAGGGCTGAAGAGGGCACCAGATCTCATAATAAATGGTTGTGAGCTAACATGTGATTGCTTGGAATTGAACTCAGGATATCTGGAGGAATAGCCAGTGCTCTTAACCTCTGGGACATCTCTCCAGTTCCATGGAAGGGTACTTCTTGAGATAGGGTTTCATGTAGCCGAGGCTGAACTTGAACTTGCTGTGTAGCCAAGGATGATCTCAAACTCCCAATCCTCTTGCCTTTACCTCCAAAGTACTGAGATTACAGATGTGTACCATCATGCCATTTTTTCTCTATTGACTTGTGTATTTGGATATATTAAGAATAGCTGTCCTTTTCCACAAATACAAGTAGCAAATCAGTTTCCCGCTTTTTTTCAGGTGTTTCAAACTTTCATATAAGTTAAAATATCTATACAAAGGTAAAATGTAAACGTATAAATAAGTATGTGTGTGTGTGTGTGTGTTGATTTCCACATAAAAGTTTTAAAACTTTGTATTCAACTCTGGTACTCTTTCCCCTTTCGATTTTCTGACAGGAAGATAATATTAAATATTCTTAATACTTTCTAATGATTGTGTGGCACATCTTTTTTTGTCTTTCAGCTTTGGAGCCTGTCCTGCTTGCTCTGTAGAACA